TTTCTCTCTCTCTCTCTCTCTCTCTCTCTCTCTCTCTCTCTCTCTCTCTCTCTCTCACTCTGTCCCTCTCTTCACTCTTTTTCTCTCTCACTGCATTTAAAATAATGGCACACCACATGATGACTTTAAGGACAAACACGGGAAATAATTAAGAAATGAAATATTAGTTTGAGAGTGAAAACCTACACCTTCGGTCGTACTACCTGCACATTCAAAAGGGGAAACTTAGATTTACTGCTCTGTTCCCTTCTAAAAAAAAAAAAAAGAGGGATCTTCGAGACAAGATTAGGTCACGTCAAATACAAGAGTGAACCAGATGGTTCCGTCAGTGAAAGCAATCTAACGGCTGTCGAATCGAAAGAAGAAACAGCGGTGATTGCAACCTACGGATGGAGATTATATACCACGCGGCATTCTGCAACTTAGTATTGACATCCTAAATCGTTTTTACCAATGTGGACTTGTTTGATCTAAGACAACCTACAATTTGCAAGAACAGGACTCATGTGTATGCTAGACTGCCAGAAATACATAAATCTTGATCGTCTTGATCGTATAATAGTTGTTTGAAAGAAGAAAAGCTTAGGAGCACGGCAAAAATAAACATGATAAAGAGACACCGGGACACACGGCTGTTGTCACGGTTCAGTTACGCGCTAATTTGAGGAAAACACGCTAACTTTTAAGAAGGTTGTCTTTCCGGAAAAAGCCTCTAAAAGTGAATTCTTGTTTATTTTTAGAATAAAAGGTCAACCTTTATCAATCCTTTAGACATTCGAATACTCAAAAATACACAAAGTAATAAATGGATTTTTTGACCCAAACATCGTGGCATGCCTAAAGACGCTGGCGGGAAGGAAGAGGAAGTCTAGTTTGAGGAGGGTCATGGTAGAAGTCTATTTTCAGAGATGTAATATATCAGTTAAACTTAACGTCTCTCTATATATAGCGTCTCTATATATGGCGCATATTTATTGAAGTTACTCATTTTGCACTTGCAGGAGACAACCAATTGCCGCAGCAAAACGTAAGACAGACTACTTTCCTGTAAACAAGTTTGATGGTGAGATTATTGGGGGTTCTGTTGTTTTTTTGTTGTTGTTAGGTTTTTTTCTTTAGAAAGAAAAAGGAACAATCCAACACACTGGTGTACAACAAAAGCAGAAAAGCAAATAGTAATTTGATAATATAATTGAAGGGGACAGAATTAGAAGTGGGTTAACCACCATTTTTTCAAAAAGTTGAAATATTGGTGTCATCATGACCCTTGACACCAAATCTATTGAATGAGGTTCTGAAGTCACTAGAAAGCCCTCATATAAGCCAGAAATGGCACGGTTTTGTCACCCAATTCCGGATATGGAAGGTGGCTAACTCCAAGCAAAGGAGTCAACTCTTGTCTAATTTGCTCTCTGAAGAAAACCGAAATGGCGGGCGTATAATTTTGATCTCTTATTTTATTGATTAACTAATTTTTGTTAGGAAAAAACGCGTTGTATTGAGGGTGGCCTGTTTAAGCTGTCCAATCTAGAATTAGACAAAATAAGTCTTTTCGTCCAAATCCTGGCACACTGGTTGGGTGTTTCACCACCTGCACACACACACACACACACACACACACACACACTCACACACACATGCACACACAGACACACACACACACACACACACACACACACACACACACACACACACACACACGGGCATGCAGGTGCACATTCCCATACACACATTCTCTCCAACACATCCTCTCCAATACACACTACGCACGTCTCTACACATAAACACAATATTATATTAGCATGACTGCACCCACAAACAGGGTCATGGGTAACAATCATAATATAAATGAAGAACAATTGTTAATAGTAACAGTGTTAAGCTTGATACATAATCAGTATTCTCATTATAACCCAACGATATTCTGACATTGCTTGCTTTAAAGGCCATAGGGATACTAATATTGCAGGATGAGGTGATTAAGATTGTATAGGGGTTCACTTGCTGATGGTAAAAATGACCTTCTGTACCTTTAATTGTTCCAAATCAGAAGCTTAAGTTGTTGGGTCTTTGTTTGTTTGTTGTTGTTTTTGGTTGTTTTTTTACTACGGATTGATATCTTAATTTGAGGGAACATGGGATGTTGAGTTCTCAAAATCATTCAAATGGTCGTTAACCCCTTTCTAATTCTAACCCCCCCCCCCCCCTCCCCCCCAATGAATCGAAAATGCTTCTGAGAGAAATGTAAGTGTTAAAACAAAATTATGTGATAGGAATCTGTATCTTCAACACTGTTGATGCTTTTTAACAAACGTCATTGAACATTATTCACTTTCTTAACCATGTTCCGAATATTAGTTGCATGCTCTCAAATGTTTCTTCTATAGATCTACATGTAAGTTACGAGGTATTTTACTTTTCATTGTTCTAACCTTCTGTGAGACGTCTAAGGGAAATTCCGTTTTCACAAATGGGAATTGGACTTACTTCAGCTGATTTAGATCCATTGATGTGTTAAGAGTCTTTTATTCCCACCAACCAGTCTGTTTTGTATTCCCATCCTTTAGGACTCTGAAGAGAAGCAACCGAATGGTTGTATCTAATGTGTCGCGTTCTCAAGAAAACATTGGTGACCGTGTTCATCGAAATCGTTCTTAGGATCACTTTGTTCGCAGACTTTTGCTTATTGAGAGTTAGCATACGTAAATTGCTTGATCCTAGTTTTTTAACAGGATTGATTTTAATTGTTATGTACAAGTAGAAGCTGTAGGGCAATGTACGGTGACACTTCACCTCTAATGCTTTTACCCTTAACTAGTTCTAGTTTATTGGCTTTACCTTATTGAAAATAGTTACTGTGTGTGTTTTTTAAGATCATGATTGCAGTGCATGACCAGTTTCTAAATGGTGAAAGGCATGAGATATGTGCAACAGGTAAATGCTTAAACGAAGCGGAGGCTTTGAGGAAGATTTTTTAAAATAACACGCTACGCAGCCTATACACCTACTCTGCCCAGACCATTGCCTGTTTCCAGAGGAAATTATTTCTCTCTGTGCAGTGGACACACTGAAAGCTCTGCTTAGGTCAGAGATGTACGAACAACCCAGCTCGAGGTCAACTTCATACACAAGGCACATCTCTGATCTTCAGCATGACTGGGATTCCTCAAAGTATGTTACGTATGAATAAGAATTCTATCTGATGAATTAAATATTTTTGTTTCTCGGCACATGTTTTGTTTTGTTATGGTTTCTTAATTATTTCTTTTAGCGGGAGCGATAAATCCGTTAGTTCTGAGCAAAGGTGAGAGGAAATTATAATATACTTTAAACGGAGTGGTAGTAAATTTGGACTCAGCAAGGTTTCCAGATCTTGTTTCCAGATGTTCCCAAGTTCAAAAACAGCTCTCCACAGAGCCCGTCATGCCTTGTACTAGCCAGGCATTCAAACGGGCTTAACTCTCTCTTACTGCCGTTTTTCTCTGTAACTTTGTAACAACTAATATGTCTAACAGTGACCCCTGCATGTTGTTTTTCTTTATTGAAAGTATGTGGAATAACAATTTTCTTTACACACTTTTGCTGTTATCAGCTAGAACAAAACATAACATCAACTTACAAAGAGATATCTAGTTTAAAAAAGAATAAAGTAGATGGGAGAACTGGTAACACTACTCTTGCTTTGTTACTAGAGATCGTATATTTTTTTGTAAAGTCAAGGCTTGGGGAGCGGAGGGGGGACAGTGAAAAAAATAGAAAAGGTGGGGGGCGTTAAAAGGGGGGGGGGGGGTGGCGATACTTCGTTAAATATTATGAATGCTTCTGTTGTGACGTTATCAAATGTGCTTGCTACACTCTGTCCATCCAGTTAAACCCTACTGCTTTTTCACCATTAATTAATTTAACGCTCGAAGTTTTGTCCAGACTTTTGTGTCTAACTGTTTTGTGTTTGTCTCTTCAGCTTGTTTGGCACGGACAAACGAAAACGCCAGGAAACTGGGGACGACTCATACTTCCTTGACGCGCAGGGGGCTGAAGGTATGTAAGGAGGTCCAACACTGTCTTCGATTCTATATCAGTCAACATCTGGTGTTCCTGAATAATGTTGATTGATTGTAAAGGTGCAGTTTGGATTGTTGAAGAGGCAGGCTGTTTTGACCTAGAATCGAACCCATGTATTTTACGTAAACGGTTTAGAGCTAACAGATGCCAATGTACCCTATTAGGATTTGACTTCAAGATGTATTTTGGAGAAGGGGGAAAGGTAGTTTATGAAAACAATGATATATGAACGAAGAAAGCCAAAGAATAATAGCATAAATAAGACTGTTTTAAAGGCTGTGTCGATGCCAGGGCATAGACTTCTTTTAAGATATAAAAGAATCAGATCTCACTAAGGGTATGCTAATGACACGGATTTGTCCAGAAGGAATCATAAACGTGTACATGATGATGTCATTTGAAATTTGATTGTCACTAAGATCTAGAAATAATTAATTTAGCCTTTGAATAGTATAGTGGTCTGGCTCCTGACATCGCCGGGAGGTGAAAACAATAACCAATATGTGCAAACGTTCGTTCAAGTGAAATTCAAAGGCTCAGTTTTCTGATATGTCACTACAAAACTCAATGAAAGTATAATGTTCCTAAAGCAGTTAGTATCGGATCTGACAAACAGACTAATAAGGGACCTGTCTCATTCTTTCTTACGCACACACACACACACACACACACACACACACACACACACACACACACACACACACACACACATACACACACATACAGAAACACAAACACACACA